TTTTTTTTTTTAACGTACACAGCCAGGGTCGCATCTAATGGCGTTTCTTGAACAGGTTGTAGACCTTGTTCCTCACACACTCGAAAGTATTCTTTGGAAGAATCGCCTCCAGTCGGACGCTGGAGCAGAAAATTGATCTTATCTGCGAATTTGTCGGCACCTTGTCCAAGTGGGCAATTGCTTCTGTGATGAGGACTGTCTCCTCGCCTGACCATGCCTGTCTACCAGACGCCGACGAGTTATGGGACGCAGCAGACATTTCTCCTTTCTCTTGTTCTTCCACTTGCTGGGACAGGACATAGCTCTCAGGAGGTTGGTGGGGCCGACAGGCTGCTGAGACTGGACCAAGTACCACACCCTGTCGAGCACCCGCTTCACCTTCTCATTTAAAAACACGATCTCCCCTAGGACCTCATCCTTCCCCATCAGAGAGACGACACGTTTCTTCCGGGGAGTTGTTAGTTCCCAGATGTCGTCTTCAAAGACAAAGGAAACAGTGGCCTGCTCCTCTGGGGTCAGAGAATGGCTAGAATGGCTAGGGGAAGGTTCCACGGGGTTGCTCTCCGTAGGTGCGGCCTTGGTCTTGGTCGGAGTGGATGGCATTGTATGGACCTTGATCTGTTGTGACACCGCAGCCGCAAGCTCTGTTAGATCATGTCTGAGGTACCTAGAGTTGGACACGGGATGAAGGTAAAACACATTGTGTGAATGTCATTATGCTTGGGAGAAAGAAGTGTTCACAAAGCTGCTTAAAGATGGATGTATTCCTGTTACTTACCAGGTCTGCCGATTTTTCACTGTGGCACATGAGGCGTCGTAGCAGATCCTCGTTTATGGGTATGCCGACGTGCATCTGCTGTCTCATTCGTGTAACTAACCACTTTCGGAAATCCGTGGCGCTTATCGGGTGGTCCACACGTACACCTGTCTTGGAGACAAAGGTGGTGATCTGCCAGCTGATGGTGGCCTTTTGAAAGGGTGCACCATCGGTTTTCAGGAAGATTTTCCTGGAATCCGATCCATTCTTGGTCACTACTGACCTGAGGTTTGTTATGAATATTTCAAGCTGGTGCACCATATTGGAGTCTAGGGGTATGGGCGCTGGTCCATCGACCTCTCGCTTGTGTGAAACAACCAACATTACTTTACATTGTTCTTTCTTATCCCTTGGCCGCATTAAACTGTCTGATAGTGGCCGTTTCCAAGGTGCTGGGACATGTGCTGATGCTCCTTGTCAGCTGAACGAGGATGTAATCATGCGCAGCTATGTATTGGGCAACAGTTAGACCATGGCTGTCGGTGGTATTTTGTGCAACTTCCAAGACCTGGATACCTTCCTGGGCTGTTTCCAAAGTCATGATATCGTTCACTTCCTTGGTGGTGAGCAAACTGTAATTAAGAGTTATAACAATAAAGGACAATTATATCCAGGGTAGCATGTAATAGCCAGAGGCTTATGAACTTAGGGAACATAGCATTGAAATGAACGTTCCTCTCCATTTCCTGCTAGATTTTTGTGTATCTTGCAGCCAAGGTCTCGTTGGTTATCGTCCACCTCCATCCTTTGAGGCTGTTGTGCACCTCATCCAGGCTCTTTCTTTCGGTTTCTGGCATGTCGGGTAGGTCTGCTTTCTTCCCCATGTTGAGCACAAACTCTAGGAACATATGGAGTGAGTTCAAGTAGCTCTTGAGGGTTCCAGCTGCCCATTTGGTTAGATTGGGAACAACCCAATCTAACCAAACCTTGCAGCCATCGTCCTTGCTGAGCACCTAAGCATCGCTCCCAGATGGCTGCAGTTCCAGGATCTTCTTTACCTGCACTGCATGCTGCAAACTAAAACAAAAGGCAGAGGAAAGAGCGGGTCTTGACTTCTTTTTAACATCAAAACCATGAAATTGGTATGATTGGAACTGTAAAGACATGACCTTATTGTTATCGGTTTCTATCACGGTGGTAGCCTGCCGCGGGGTGACAAGGTAGGTGAAGAATGTCACCAACCATCTGTGGCGAGGCGTCTGTGTTGTGGGATGTGTGAAGAATGCCTCCTCGTTTTCATCTTCCCCCTGCTCATACACAGAGTCAGACTCCTCAGAGTCCACCTCTGCACCTGATGCAGGCGCCACAGATGGTGTTGTGGTGCGGGGGGGGTGAAGGAGGCACCGCTTCCCATGAGTACTGAGAAGACTCATTTTCCTTTTCTGTTCTCTTCCTCTTCGGTTTTGGTGCAAATCATAGTCGTCCGCGAGGGTTAGCACCTCCAATGGCCTCTTACTGTGTTTGGCTAGAGGGCTGGTCTTCTTGGAAGAGGGTGTGGAGAGGTGTGGATGCCACTCTTCATCACTCCCCTGATAGTGACGGGCCATTTGTAAATACGATCTATATGTCTGCCCTTTGGAGTTAGAAGAATAGTATCAATGATAAACAAGGTGTTTTTTGGACTGCAGGTCTAGAAACGTGACAGCACCACCTTCAAAGACCCTAGTTATGCATTATACTCTACAAAACACGGAGAAAGGCTTAGACATACCTTTATTGTCCAAATCGTGGACTTGGCACAAATGTTGGGGAGGGAAGGCCCCAACAAATGTGCAGCCCTGGACCGGGCCACACCGCCCCCTTCTCATTGATTTCGAGGTACTAGCCTTGCCTTGATACTCATGAACTGTGCTATATTTTACGCTCCCAGCAGTGGCTAGGGCAAAGAGACGCTCCACGTCTCCACTGGATATCTCGCCCTTTGAATGGTGAACCTTGAACAAAGAGCAGTAACGAACAAATTGAACTTGCACATGTTGATTGTGACTTGGTTATGTGCATATACTGAGGCAAAGGGACGGGAACAGACATTACACTTAATACTAGGTTTTACCTTTTGAAAGGTGCCTCTTTAAATTCCATCCCGCAAAGCCCTTGCATCTGGGAACAAGGCGTTTTTTCTGGCGTTGTTTTTTTGCGGGGCTTTCGATCTTGCTTGCTGGTTGCACCTTCTTTTCCCATCCCACCTCCACCTCCTCTCCACCATCACTCTCGCCATCGGTGCTTTGATATACTTCCCCAAGGTCACTTCTTTGTCCTCGGACATGTTCGTCGCCTAAGGAAGTTAATAAGTGAAAAAGGGAGTTTAGGTTTCGTCCTTTGAGTTGAATACCAAAGAGTTGCCAATGAAGCTAGTATAAGGGTGCGCCGGCTAACCTTGGGAGAATAATCAGGGTCGCTCTCGGTGTCATCAGTCATGTCCCTTCCCACAGTACTGTACAGCATCTTCTGGAACCTCCAGAACATTTCAATGGATTGGCACGCATCTCTCGTGATCTTCAGGCTCTGTTACAGAACATGTTTGACCTCCAGGTTGTTGTGAGGGGGAAAGCGCTTCTCAGCAATGCTCTCGTATAGATACTGTGTACGACAGCATCCTGTAGGATACATTAGTTATGTGGTCTAAGTTAAATATTTGGCTAGCCGCCACGAAGTAGTAGAAGAACTGTATTTCCTTAGCAAGGGTCTGCCCCATGTCTTTGGGATAATATGCCTCTGGGGGCTTGAAAGGCACTCCTTGATGTATTGCCAAAGCCTCTTTCGCTCCATCATTGTCAAGAGTGCCTCCCTCATCAGCTTGATGAGGTTGGCCAGCTCCTCCTTAGTTTTTCTTGCTTGAGTTATTTCTAATTGAAGATCAAAGAAACACCCGACATTAGCAATAACAAGAAACCTGGGAACTAAAAAAAAATGGTTTAAGAAAGTTGCGCATGTTCAAAAAGGAGTTCCATGAACAACATCAAAGCATGAAGAAAGCTTCAATCATCACTCAAACATGAATAGGAGTTCCTCAAGTGACAAGGCTCCTCCGAGAAAACGTCGCAGCATGAAAGAAGCTTCAATCATCATTCAAACATGAATAGGAGGTCGTCAAGTTCTAATAACAAGGGTTCTCCGACAACATCACAGCATAAAACAAGCATCAATCATCATCAAACATGAATAGGAGTTCCTCAAGTTCTGGTAACAATGGTCCTTCGTCAAACACGAATAGGGGGTCCTCAAGTTCTAGTAACAAGCGTCCATTCTTCAACATCTCAACATAAAACAAGCATCAATCATCATCAAACATGAATAGGGGGTCCTCTGACAACATCAAAGCATAAAACAAGCATCAACCATCATTCAAACATAAATGGGAGGGCCTCAAGTGCAAATCAGGAGGTCCTCCAACATGAAAAATTGCACCAAAGCGAGTAACTTCAACGGCTGAGTACCTACAGTTATTCTAGTGCAGTGAAAGAAAGTTCTTCACACATAGGCCTTGCCCCCCTTTAACAATCCCTCAAAGTTGAAAGTCAGAAGTCAAATCCCTGAGGAGATATAAGCCGTTGAAGTTGGCCTCACTTTGGTGTAAATACCAGGGGAAGCATGGGTTTGAACACTTCCGTCTGCCATTTTGAACAAAATTTCAAACGCTCATAAGTTTATGAGAATTTAGTCGATTGCAATGAAATTTGGTTTGCACGTAATCGTTGCCAAGACCTCTCGAAAGCAGTATTTCAATATGCAAAGAACTAAGAAAACGCAAAGTTATCCGCGTGTGAAGTTTTATACAAATGACGTCATTACTAGTTAAGAAAGGAACTGAAGGGTTCAAAAGCAACACCAATCGGTTCCTAACTACTTGCACAAACATCATTGAACACTAAAAAGAGGTCCTCGGTACTTTTAAGAGGTCCTCTACTGACATCATGATTGTCATTGCACCCTTAAAGTTCAAGCAAAGCCTGCGCAGAAGCACCATTTCTTATGCGGGGAAAATGTTTAAGGAAGGTGCCCAAGCACCTTAGAAACATCTTCCGATAAGTGAACGGCCTCTGCGCACTCTTTAAAGGGTGCAAAAAAGTCAAAAAACGGGAGCAGAAAAGGTTGTACTTACAGCTTTGAAGCTTGGCTGGAGTGACGTACTGTAGGTCTGCAACACGCATGTTCACTTAAAGTGCCCCTGAGATCAAAATTTTCGTACTTCAGCTTTTTACATTTTCGCCTTCAGTATGTTCTCCTTACCTACCCTGTTAAATTTCAAACTAGTCCGAGGACCAGAAGTGTCTTTTTTTAGGCCGTTAAATGCGAGATTTCGCGTCCGCCATTATTTGACCATGTCCCGGAAGTTGATCGCAGTATTCAGAGGAAGTGACGTCAAACGCTCAACTCGAAAATCTCACATGGCTAGTTGTGAAACAAACATAACACAGTGATCTTTTCCATTCTTACTACAACATCCAAAAAATGACGGGGCACCGATGCGTAGTTCAAGGCTGTAGTAATTGTGCAGACCATGCTAGTGGAATTTCTCTCCATCAGAGCCCTGTGAATAGATCAGAACGGGAAAAATGGATGCGATTCGTGCGAACCCGCCGGGCAAATTTCAATCCCACAGGTAGATTTGTAATATGTTCTGAACACTTCTCAGAAGACTGTTTTGAGAGATCCATGCACTTGGACGGCTCTAGGCGAAGAATTCTGCCGGGTTCGGTGCCTACTGTGCGAAAAAAGGGATTAGAAAAGCCGCTCTCAGCTCGATCAAGACGAAATGTAAGTCCGTGTCTCTTGTCACCTTTACATGCGTGCTGACCTTTTATATGTGGTTCGAAGTTCATTGACCTCCAAAAATATTCCTTACCATTTCATGGAAATGCTTTATTTTCTTTTAGGTGCTTAGAGACATTAATAGATCTGACAACGCATCGTCTCTTGCTTCGCAAGAGGATGTAGAAATACGCAACGAATCGGCTGCCGGGCAAATTTCAATCCCACAGGTAGATTTGTAATATGTTCTGAACACTTCTCAGAAGACTGTTTTGAGAGATCCATGCACTTGGACGGCTCTAGGCGAAGAATTCTGCCGGGTTCGGTGCCTACTGTGCGAAAAAAGGGATTAGAAAAGCCGCTCTCAGCTCGATCAAGACGAAATGTAAGTCCGTGTCTCTTGTCACCTTTACATGCGTGCTGACCTTTTATATGTGGTTCGAAGTTCATTGACCTCCAAAAATATTCCTTACCATTTCATGGAAATGCTTTATTTTCTTTTAGGTGCTTAGAGACATTAATAGATCTGACAACGCATCGTCTCTTGCTTCGCAAGAGGATGTAGAAATACGCAACGAATCGGCTGCACTCGTTGTGGACCTAAGTCAGGTATTGTACTAAATAATCGAAAAAATTGTAATTAGTAATTATCTTACACCGATCCAAATTTTCGCCCAAATGATGGTAATATCGAGCCACATTTTATTCACTTCTTTCTTCTTTTCTTGCATTGTTCCGATGAACTTTTAGGTTGACGATGATCCAACCCAAACCACGTCAACTGAATTTTCTGAAGTCCCTGTAGAAAGCCAGGTACACATTTATGGCAAATATAAAATTCTCACATCTATATATATATATTCTTTTGTAGTAGAATGTAATTCGTAGAGCGCACAGAACTGTGATTTCCAACAATTCACTCGTTAAATTGCCTGATGAGAGTGGTCCAGTACAATACGAAACATTTCTGTAGCAATAAACGGTGATTACTCAAGAAACCTAATATATATATATATATATCCTACACTTAAGAATCGTACAACATATTTCGCCAATTTCTTTGCATTCTGAAGTTAAACTATTTGAAATAACTTAACTTAACTTTTATAACAGAGCATAAACCTAGAGTCTGACCCACGTACAGATACTCCAATACCATCTTTTTCTGAGGAACTTAGAGGATCTTTGTTTCAAGAGGCAAGTGAGATGTTGAATTCCAGTAAATATAAGTGAATGTTTCATTCAAGACTTTAGTATCAATGTCTTGTATTTCAGACTACTGATGGAATGGTACAAACCTGCATGAAATGTGAGGATTTAAGAAAGGAAAAGAGGAAACTTCTCAGGCAACTGAGAAGTGCAGAATCAAAATTGAATGATTATAAGCAGAAGATGACAAGTAACCAAACAGAATGGGTGAAAACACTTCAAGACATTAATAACTCACCAATGAAAGAAAAATTTCACAATAATAGTGGTAAGCTGTAGTACATATTTACCACTTCATAGTTCTTGTTTCACATAACTGTAACCTATTTTTATGCTTCATTTGTGGAACTCTCTGTTCATAGTCAGTTTATTACTAATATGTGTGTAGGTGCCGATACTTCACTATTAAGTGGTGACACAGATGGAAATGAGTCTGAACTGGATTGCAAAATGAATTTTGCGCTCATCGAAGAGGAAGCTACTGAAAAGTGGGATGATAATGATCCCACATGGGCACCTGAAGAAATAGATGACATTTATAATAAAGCAGGAGATGATGATGCTGACGATTCTAAGAAACCTAGGTAAGGTATTCAACATTGCTTAAGTACAAAACCTAAACCTACAACATGTTACCAATCACTGAGCAGGTAAACAATTTGGGTTTAATTTTATTTTTTTGTCATTTCCAGGCTGAAGTGTGAGGGCAAAAGCTGTCAAGAGGAACCCAAGGGAATAGTCTTTCTCTCTAAACTTCTCCTGTTATTTCAGCATTGTCATTTGTGCTTTGCTCCTGAGCCAGAGCTTAATGTTAGCCAGACGGGAACAATGTTGTCATTTACTTCCAAGTGTAGAAGTTGCAGTGGTACCTTTTCCTGGAACAGCCAACCCTTCCTGATTGGAAAATTTCCAGCAGGAAACATACTTCTTAGCTTTGCTATCATCTGTGCTGGAGCATCAGTGGGCAAAGTTTTACTTGTTTTCAAACACATGGGACTGCTATGCTACAGTGAGGCCACCTATTATTACCATCAACGGCACCTCCTGTTCCCCACAATTATGAAATTTTGGCATTCCTATCAGGAGAAAGTCATAACTTCACTGAATGGGAAAGAAGTTGTGCTAGCTGGTGATGGCAGGCATGACAGCATGGGCCACTCAGCAAAATATGGAACCTACACCATATTCTGCTGCACTGTCGGCCTCATTATTCACATTGTGCTTGTCCAGGTAAATTTCAACAAAACTTGAGTAACTATGCAGTTAAATAACTACAAATTGTGGTGCTCAACAACACAAGCTAAAATATAAGGTGTCTAACAGAGCAATCTGTGTATTCTTCACCTCTTTGCAGTATAGTCTCATTAGTGAGTTTGCTCCAATAGCATGATTCTGTCTTATATTTTTTACAATGATCCCAAATTAATGGTTTTGCAGGCCAATGAAGCAGGCAGCAGTTCTAACATGGAGTTTTTTGCACATCAAAAAGCCTTTGCTTTCTTGCTTGCAACTGGAATGATAATTAAGTCCTTCATTTCTGACCGCCACCAGTCTATTGCAAAGTGGATGAGGCAGGATTGCCCCAAGAAATGCCAGGAATTAGGAAAGCCTCTCATTGACCACTTCTTCGACCTATGGCACATTGGCAAAAGTAAGCTTGCTTTCATGTTTGTGTATATAATTTTCCTTGGCACTGATATGCATCATGCCTTTGGTCGAATGTTGCTAAATGATGCTACTGACGAGTCTAAATGTCCTGTTTTTCATCCTTTGGTTTTCTCTGCAAGAGATTCAAAAGATTTTGACAAAGATCAGTAAGGAGAAAGGCTGTGAAGTAATTGCAAGGTGGAAACAGGCATGTGTGAGGCACTTTTATTGGTCAGTTACCTCAACAGAACCAAAGCTGGGAGAAGTCATACTTGCCAAGTTCAAAACCTTTCTCTATCACATCATCAACCATCACAAGGATCTACCAAACCAGTTATTTAACAAATGTGCCCATGGTGTAATAAACACACAAAAAGTTTGGTTGACAAAAGGTATTTGAAATCTGTTACTGTTATTGTTACTGTTCACCGCATTAAATGAGCATTGCATTGCATTAAATGAGCATTGCATTTTGACATACTTATTGTTAATAATGCAAGTTTAAATTGTTATTTTAAGAGAGCAGTGTTGTGATAATCTTTCACTGAGGTTTGGCAGGATGCAANAAAAATAACCGTATGGTAAAAGAAAAATCTAGCAATTGAGTGAAGATGAATTACGCCTGAAAGTGTGCTGAGATCGACTTCTCATACCAGCAGGACGCCAACATAGTCAATTTTCAAGGCAAATTTGCGACCTCTTCTGAAAGCGCAAGAGCAAAGTGTGACTGATACACTGTTCAATTGAACTTTCTTCTATAAAAGCCATATGGTAAAAGTAGGATTCAAAAAGTAGTTTATCCGTAAACGAATAGAACGTAAGCTTTCCTCGACATTTTCAGCCCTTTCCCTCTATTTTTTGGCAATCATTTTCTAATTAGCGTTTAAATTTAGCGCCAGTGTCTCAATGAAAGTCCCGGATATGTCACTAAATTCTGGGCGATGATGACTAGTACTATACCTTTTGTATTGCTCTTATAAATTGCAAGTCAAGAACGTGAGAGATTGGGGAGTTATAGCAGTTCCCATGGGAGCACCCCATTTGGTACCCACCATCTTGGAATTTTTGGCCAAGGGGTAGCATGGCCATTTTGGTCAAAAATTGAAATTTCTCTCAAACTCCTCCTACAGGTTCATTCATCTCCAAAACGAGTCTCTAGCACTTTTAAAAGTGGTTCTGAAGCCTTAGGTCCCGTTATTAGGGACCTTAAGATCCAGGACGGGAATGAGGATGACGGTGAGCCGTAGGACGGTTATGACTGGGCCTAAGTCTCGGTCTCACGCGTTGGTTAAATAGCTTAAGATTGTTGTCGACAAGGAAGCCACTGTGCTTCCAGAAAATGTTTTCCATTTTGGTTTATTCTACAGCATGTTTAACATTTCATATCACTGATTAAGAAGCGTTTTTATTTTTATTATACACCATGGGTATTTGGTGCTTCAAAACATGACGCAAGTTTTATATGTCAGCTTAATTTATCATCCTGCTGATATCGCAGTAAAAAAAATTTTTCTTACCTCTAACTCTTTTGCTTGGTTTGTTCAGCTTGTTATCTTAGTTTTGTGTGTCAAAATACGTGTTAAAATGAGGTTTAGGCATGCAAGAGATGCCTTGGTTCTATGTCATGACAACAGAGTGATAGACGACGAGGAATTTTGCTTGCTATATGATGCCAATTGATCAAAAAATCCAGAGTTTCCATACGAAGAGTATGGAAATTTTGATCTTGAAGATATGGAGGACGCTGAATGTAAAGCGGAATTTCGCTTCCATAAAGTAGACATCCCGGTGCTGGCAAAAGTCCTTGGTTTACCCGAAACTTTCACCTGCAGTCAGGGATCCGTGACTAATGGTAATGAAGGGCTATGCATTATGCTGAAAAGATTTAGCTACCCCTGCAGGTACTCAGATTTAATTCCCCGTTTTGGCCACCCTGTTCCTGTGATGAGCATGGTTTGTAACACAGTAGTTGACTTAGTCTATAACCTCCATGGCCATAGAACAACCAAATACAATCACAACCTTCTTGATAGTCTTCAAGTCTATGCAGATGGAGTTTTCCCTAAAGGTACTGCTCTGGATAATTGTTTAGGTTTTGTGGATGGCACGGTCAGGCCCATTTGTTGCCCAGGGGAAATGCAAAGGGCTGTGTACAATGGACACAAACGTGTACATGGACTAAAATTTCAGTCAGTTGCTTTACCAAATGGATTGATTGCCAATCTTTTTGGACCTGTAGGTTAGTGCATTATTTATCTCAGCTAATGCTAAGACAATGGGAAGGTATAAACATAAGGCATGTGATTTCTTTAAATCCCTTGGCCAATTCTAGTGTTGGTGTTTTTTCCTCAAACTGAATTGTCAGAGTTGATGTGCATTGCAGTACGTTGTGACATTCTTTTGTAATTTACCTTACGTGTGAACAGATGTGTATAGGGAGCCAACATAAAACTTATATCTTAATTTATCAGTAGGTATTTCTATATAAATGAGTTGAGCCTCCAATAAGCACGCATATCTAGATCTATTAAGGCCACAAGGGTATTGGCTTTACAGAGTATTACTGTAACTGGTTTGAAGGAAATATTAAATTTAGAAAAGATTGTAAGCTCGGCATCAAGGATATTTCAAAACTCCACTATATCTGTTTTCAAGAAGGGAGAAAACATAATGTCTCTGGTCTATTGAATGAGCTTGAGAGGCATGCCCTTTCTCCAACTGGCCAGGCAATGTGTATTTATGGTTATCCAGCATATGCCCACTGTGTTCATCTGCAAACACCATTTCATTATGGAGTACTAACACATCAGATGCAAAGTTTCAATGAGTCTATGAGTAAAGTTCGTTCCTCAGTCGAGTAGATTTTTGGGGATATCATTAACTATTTAAAATTTTTAGATTTTAAGAAAGATTTGAAGCTGGATTTAAGCCCCATTCGGAAAATGTACATTGTCTGTGCCTTACTTAGGAGTGCACTTACTTCCCTTTGTGGTAACACAACCTCCGAGTTTTTCCAGTTAGACCCTCCATCTCTGGAAGATTACTTTGCTTAACTGTCATTCATACTTGCGGGCATAGCTAAATGTTTTTGGTTTGTAGGCTTCTTTTAATAATAACTTAATAATAACTTAATATTTATATTGTGCAAATTAACATGTGAATATGATCAAATGCGCATCACAACACTTTTCGGGGGACTTTGGCCAGACTGCATCAGCAGTTTACAAACAATCGAAGGACACTTATTTGAAGATGCCCCCTCCCCCCAATCTCAGTAAACAGGCCAGACCACATCACAGTAATCTCGTGAGTGGGTTTTTTAACGTCCCCTGCCTAACCAAATTAGCTAATTAGTAGATGCAGGAGATGGGACCTA